GGGCCTTTTTCATGGTCAGTATGAACTGAGGCTCAGAGCCAGGGACCTTCAGTGCTGTTCTCAAAAGAAAGTCTTCATTCTTTCTTTTTTATCTAGACTCCTAAATCTGAGCCCACTAACTTTTTCCAGCATGTGGATCAGAGAGTAAATTGAACTCCATTTATTAAGAGAAGAAAAAATTCCATTTGCCGGGAAAGGAATGTCTGCTCCAGTGTTTGTTAATGCTTTCATGAGTTTGTTTTTTAGCTGGTTACTTTAAGTCCATAGATATAACTTGTCATATGTGAGTGCAGTTCTCCGAATGCTTAATTGGTAATATTCAGCACCCATGATTTTTCCCTTAAATGTGTTCACTTAAGAAGAAAATAATAGAATATAATCCACCCCCACCTCATATCCTTGTTTTCTTATAGATAACTGGGATAGGATATTGGTTTTGTTTGTTTCAATTTATGTGGAGCCAGAGCATGGAGTTTATCTATTTTGTACACACGGAGCCCTGACCTCCACCATGTGCTGTAGGATTTCACTTTCTCACTTGACTTTCTGATATGTTCCCGCCATTCGCGATTATCTTTTTTTAGCATTTGCTATAACTCCATAAGCCTCATGACATGCCTGGTAGAAAATACCCATTTAATCTTTTCTGGGACCTAGGCCTCAAGGAGAGAAAACATCAATTTATTTTCCGTTCTTTACCTTTCTAGGCAAAATCCCTGTTTGGTGACCAGAGCTGTATATATTGATATTCTCTTCCTGTTGACTCGCTGCCTTGACAAAGCCACAAAAGGCAACCAGCCAGGTATGATTCATAGTTATATCATATTTTGGAATGATTACAGGTCTTTGAAATGTAATTGGGGTTTTGAGTGGCTCTACCACACACTCCCTCACCTTCTACTTTTGTTAAGACTAACCCCACATCAAAATTAAACATAATGTCATATGGTTTTCTCATAGAAGCTTCTCAAAGAAACTTGTCCTTGTTTAGTTGAAAGTTTGCTGTTTATTTTCTATTTGACCATTCGGGGAAGAGTGTGGACTCAACTCAGATACCCTCTGCGTTTCTGAGACCTTGGCTCTTTCCTATTTCATGCATTTTCTTTGAAAGGTTGTCATTTTCAATAACTGAGAGTTCTTTCTGTTCCATTCTGTGTAGATAACAGAGCTGCACTCAGTTGAGGCTGGAGCCTGGATATTTGAGATTCTGTCTCAAATCCTCCCTTTACTACCTTAAGCTCTGACTTTGTATGTGTTCCTTAGTCATATATGTTCCCCGGTATGGGACCCAGATCCACATACAATTGTTCTATTTTAATCATGATTCACAAAGTGATTTTCTTAAAAGAGAGAAGGGCAACTCCAAATAAAATTTTTGATGTGTTTATATAAGAGGCCGCAGGAAGTGCTGTACATGAGTTCCAGGCCACAGACTGAAACTGATTTTCGTCAACACAAACTGGAATGCAGGGTAATGAGCCTGCAACTGGTTAAAATCAGCCTCTTCTAATTGATTAGGCCTGTCTAAGGGAGGCTACAATTACAAAGTCAGATTCTGAGTACAAGCAGGCCAGGCCTTTCCTCTGTTAAATTTAGTCTGTCAATGATTTGTTGTCCTCAGTAAATACATTCAGGCTGTCAGAGTCCAGCTTTGTCCATATGGAACCCTGTTCCCAAATTCAAACCAATTTAAAATGCTTTGAGGGGGAGGTGCGAAACCGCCTCACCCGGATCAATGCATATTAGCCCACAAAGCCCCTGTGGCCACGCAGAGGTAATGAGAACATGCCTGGACTTTCATCAGCTTCGCATCCCTGCATAGGGGTAGCTGCTGTATCCGTTTGGTAGAACAGGATCGTGTAGTTTTATAGCTATAAAATAGCCCAAGTTTATGCCTCTTATCCTAGCGTAATTATTAATAGTGCCCCCTTTTACTCTTGAAAGTGTCCAGGTTTGCACAATAAATTATAGGTCAACCAAGCTATAAGAGACCTCAGGGTTATGTCCGCTTTATTTTGCACTCGAGCTAACTGGGGTCCAGAGATTATAAATCATGTGTTACCAGAAGTAAATGTTTCCACTATTTTTGTATTTCAGTTCCAAATTCCATATAGCTTTATGATACTTCTCTGATTAGTGTCCAAAGGGCCTTGGCCATGAAAGACTTGCTTGCTATTCACAAGTCCAAGCAGTGAGATCCTCTCAGAGTTGTGTGGTTGACTATAATCATTAGTTTATTTGAAGTAAGTTTTCCTTGGCCTTTTAGTACCATTATTCCTCGTCTGGAAGGGTTAACCCTTGGATGTTATAACATACCCTCTCATCTCCAACTGCTAGTCCTTTACTGACGAGTTGGGCTCCTCCATAAAGATGTCCTAGGCCATTCTGAATCATCCTTTCGTCTAAACTCTTACATCATTTAGAGCTTATACCCCAATTAAATGTGACCATAAGCTGTCATTCATTACTCAACAGTATTTCACTTTATCGATGTATTATTCCTCTTAAAGTCCTTTCTTTGAAGAGTAAGATGTGGGGGGATGGGACACTTTACCCTAGTATAAAAGCCATAGCTCTAAATATTTTATCCTGCACTGTCCACTGTGGCAGTCACTAGCTGCATGTGGCTCTTGAACATTTGAGGTGTGGCTAATCCAAATTGAGATGTTCTGTAAGAATAAAATACACACCGAATCCAAAGACTTAGCATGAAAAATATAATGTAAAATTTCTTATTAAGTTTTTATATTGCCTACATATCAAAATAATATATTTATATATTTATGTAAATAAAATGTAGTATTAAAATTAATTTCACCTGTTTCTTTTTACTTTTAAAAATGTGGCTACTAGAAAATCAAAATTACATATATGGCAAATATTATATTCCTGTTAGACCAGTACTGATTTTGTCTAGTCCTTTGGAAATTGCCCTCATAAACCACAGGCTATATGTGTATGTGTCTATCTATATGAATGTATATGTTCACACAAACATATACATATAATATATATAATACATTCATATAAACAGTGGTAAAAATTTTCCTCTTTTGGGGATGAATTAGATTTTAGAACTAACCTAATGTCAAATACAGTGGTGATTAAGATGGATAGCACTGTTTAGGATAAAAATAAGCTATGAACTTAAAGTAATGAAAACTGTTCTTATGTGTTTCATAAATTATTTCCAAAGGCAGTTTGAACAATAGCTAAGTATATCACCAAGCAAGGTGACTACTCATTTATGTGTAGATTTCAATATGATTTCAAAATAATGTCATGGCTTTATAGTTTTACCTTGTAAGTACCTTGAAAGAATGGATCATGCCTTAGATTCTTTGTCCCGCAGGTAAGCAGGCCCTCACTAACTGGATTTCTTATTGAAATACAAAGTTTTCCTCAGTTTTTAGAATAGTAACAGTTGTCATCAAGATACAAGTCTTGGTGTTGGCTCCATAGTGTAGTGGTTAGCCGTCTGCTTTACACACAGAAGGTCCTGGGTTCACACCCCAGGTGGAGCCACGGACCATACCCCGAGTCCACCAGGCCCCAGGTGCACACCGCGAGCATGTGGGAGGAGACCCTGCACCCTCAGAGATCCAGCTCTTAAGGGGAGATGGCAACACCTATAGGTCAGGGGTAGAAGTGCAGGGAGAGGGAATTAAAGAGGGGGGAAAAAAAGATACAAGTCTTATTTAAATTCATATATCAATTAGATAGAAATTCATTTCTGAATTTAAATAAGGTGTTTATATCATGGACATATGTTTATAAATATCTGTATATCTACTTCCATTATTGGCTCACAAAACTCAGAGTAGGGAGTATACCACATAGGCTCTGAAGCCAGACCCCAGGATTTACTTCCCATTTTCTAGCTTTGTGACCTCTGGCAAGTCATTTAACCTCTTTGAGACACTTCCTTGATTGTAAATGGGGGTAATAATAGGGTCTGTATCTTATTGTGGTTGTCAGCTAATACGTGTGAAGCCCTGTGTAAAGAATGTGTTTTACATGGCATAGAATAAGTACTCAATAAATATTAGCTACCATTATTATTATTATCATCATTATCATTAGCTCAAAACCATGCATCTAATCCACTCTTCTACAGCCTGTCAGAATTATGCTCTACCCCTCACATTCACAATTCTCCTTATATTCTTAAAGATCCAGGAAAAAGAAATGCCTGCTTTCTTAGAAAAACACAGAAGCACAAAACACCTGGCTTAGAATTTCAGGAACCCACTTTGAAATCCACTTGAATAGGGATGCTCTTGCTCCCCTGACAGATCGAGAAAAGGATCATTATTTATTGCTGTCCATTTCTTTTTTTTTATTCATCAGACATGACATGCTAGCATCAGACACACTGACCACCTTTATTTGGAGATACACATGAATATGCCTTGGACTTATAAATCGGTGCAATAAGGGATTATAGATGATATAAAGGAAGTGTGTATGGAACACATTTAAGGCACAAAGAATGAAAGGTCATTTCTACTTGGGAGGGTAGGAAAGGCTCTATAGAAGAGGAGGTGGTTAAGCAGAGTTTTGAAGATGGTAGAGATTCACTGATGGTCAAGGTGGAGGTGGGCATTATAGACAGAGGGAAGAGTACAGCCAAAGCCACAGAGGCACAAGTCAGCACAGCCTCCAAAGGCCTAGGACAGTGGGACTAGAGTGTTGGGTTCAAGGCCAGGCAGATGTGACTAGAAGTGAGACTGGGAGGCAAGAACTCAATCATGGACGGCCTCACTGGCCAAAATCTGAGGGGTTTGGACTCAGCCCTATAGACAAGGGAGATAATTGGAGGACATAAGACAGAGAGTGGGGTTTTGTGGTTTTAAGAAAAGGTGACATTTCTTTCTGTGCCTGCATCCTCCTTATAGGATTCGTAGGACCCTTATGAACCTAAGTTCCTGTTGTTGCTAAAAAAGATTGTAACTAAAAATTCCTTCACAGAATGTCAAGGAGACTTGTCCAGGCATCGTGATAATCAGTATTGGGGGTTTAGGAGGTTAGAAATGGGGAGGAGAGGACTAGCACAATGCTAAAGTAGTTGTTTTAAAATGGTGTGATTATAGGGGGGTTTCTTCCTCTTATTTTCCATTGTACTAATTTTATACAGCCTAATTTTGTTTTATTCGTGTGTGTGTGTACATGTATTTCAACAGTAAGTGTATTTAAATGTGAATCTTGAAGATTGCTTATTCTCAAAGAAAGGAAGTAATATCAATTTCAGGGAAACTTTTTTGGGATAGAGGAAGATCTGCCCATCTCCTTTCAAATGCTATTTGGTAAATGACCTTGGAAGGCTAGTCCATCCTCTAAAATGTCTTAGAACTACGTTGAAGGGCTGGGGGCATAAACAATGAGGAAAATGGTGAAGGGGAAAGGCAGAGAAGATGATTGGAAAAGCTTAAGATAATGATGTGTTTTGTGTAATTCAGACTTTTATCTTAGTACTTCTCAATCATTTGAGGTTTTCTCAGCCATTAACTAGGTTTTAAAAATTCCAAATCTGGAGATTTTGTTTTGAGTTTTAAAGTGCTTTAAACCCACAAGGACTCTCTGTCCCCTGTATTCTTTTTCCTCTTCTGAATCCAGCTGTCATCATTAGTATATATCACTTTCCTGCTGGAAAGAAAATTATAGTCTCCGGTTGGAGTTGGAGGGATGAGGAAGAAAAAGCCTAACTGCCACAAGGACTCAGAGGCTGTCACAGGCCTGAGCGGGGCGTGGAAACAGAGAGCTTTCATTCTTATTTTAAACCCATCTTAAATTATTTGCTCT